CAAAAAATGGCCGAAATGATTTGTGAAGAAAATTTGTACCCATATGTCTCTCCTATGATACAAAAATGGTGTTCTTATTATTTGTACATTCCTGATATTTATAAAATAGGTATTATTTGTGATCCACGCTTTAAAATTGAAAATTATAAAATTTTAATTGATTATTACTACAAGTGTTTTTTAGATGAAAATAGTTATTACTACTCTTATTTTGTAGAATGGAAAAAAGAAAGAGATAATGCTGTAACTTTTTTTGAGAATTTGTTTGAGGAATATCAAGGGTTATACGGCACTGTACAAGAAGAAACAGCACCATCTCCGCCCCCGAAATCAAAAAAAGGTTTTGCCGGAATAGTCGGTGGGCTTCTTGCAAAGAAAAGGAAGCGTGCTCATTCTTCGACGAGTTCAAGTGGTACAACAGTAAGCTCGCACAACGAACTTGCTATGTACCAGGGTGTGCCATGCGATTACGATGAAGACGAAGTGGATTTTGACGTGCTCGGATGGTGGAAGCGGAACGAACACATGTTCCCAGGTCTCGGCATGCTAGCAAGACAAGTGTTATCCGTTCCGGTATCAACCGTAGCAGTTGAACGAGAATTCAGTGTTGGCGGCAACATTCTAACCGACTTTCAAAGTTGTCTTAGCGCTGAATCTCTTGAAACACTTGTTTGCAACCAAGATTGGCTCTTGGCAAGACGTCGAGCTCAAGAGTCAACGTACCAACTCAAATCGGAGCATTACATGAATGCAACAACAGATGGAAGTCCGAGTTCTGAAGAATAAGTTATAAATTTTTTTGTTAATGTAAATATGTAATTAGTTTTTTTAGCTGAGCGATATATAAGCTCATTCGAGGGTTTCTTTACGGTTCTTTACCTCGTCGCTTTTTTTGAACCGTCAGGATATTAAATGTGGTTGTTCTTCAGTTAGTGTATTATTCATTTAAAATATTTAAATAACAACTACATTTTTAGATAACAACTACATTCCGGTACTTCATTCTTTCCTTAAACAATTGCAAATTTAAAATTTTATACTTAAAAATTTTAAAAAAAGCAAAAAAAAATAATAGGGGGGCGGGCGAAACCGGCCGGTCCGGTACCGGAACCGCCGTTCTGGGAACCGGAACCGGTACCGGCCGGCACGGTGACGGTTCCGGTGACATGGGGTGGCGGTACCGGAACCGGCGGTTCCGGAACCGGAACCGTACCGTGTCCACCCCTAGGGGAGACAGAGTGTAAAAAACACAAATTTTCAAAATTGGGTATCAATTGGAGATGCCCTAATTACATTAAACTTATGCTCCCTCCATGGCAAAAACACATTTCCTTTCCTTTTTTACTTGTCCCACAAAATTTTTTCTTAATTATATTAAAAAATCACTTTTACCTTTACTAATTCTTAAGATACATATCACGTACTTTTTTACTAACAACCATGCTAGGAGTACTCCAAAAAGATACGTGAAATCTCAGTTCAATAAAAAAAATTGCACTGACACTTTATGTCATTGTATACCATTACAGTAACATTACACTAGTACAAAATATTGGTGCATGTCTTCGTGAGTACAAAATGTGATATAACTTTTGGGGTACAAATGGTTTAATTCTTTTGCTAATAATCTACACATCAAATCATATTTTTACCCATCACATCAAGGGTATTTTTAGAAAGTCAACACAAAATATCTCTTCCTTAAATTCTCTAAAAGTCAAAATGGGAAAATGTCTTTGGGACGAAAGAAGTATTATACGTGGAGCATTAATACATTGAAACAAATTTCTGAGAGGTTTACACAATTCACTTTGTTTCTCATCTCATCTCTACTCTTGTAGCTTAGATCAAATGAGACAAGAACAAAAATCCATGGTCATGGAAGATTGCCACAAATGAGATGCATTGTGTTGTGAAGTTATGGACATGGATTTAAGACAGAGTATTGTTCATTGCAGTGGTTGAGGAATTATTGAAAGCTTTTTAGTTATGATTATTGTCAATTGCAAGAAACATGGAAACAAACTTTGATTTTTTTTGCATTCATTTCATTTTTTTTTCATTCATTCATTCATTTCATTTTTTGGACATCAATGTCCCCCTTAGGGAAGACCTACTTCTTCCCTTCTTCTCTTTTGAAATTGTTTTATATGTGCTTAAACAAAAATAAAAATCAAAGAACTTTCGCCATGGAATGAAGGTTTCATGGCAAAATAAATCCCAGATTCCACAAATTTATAAGTTTTATTCTTTTAATAAAATTGCATATTTAACCAAATTTCTCCAAACCTGGTGCAATTTGGGGAAATGTTGATGGAAGCATCACATTGGAGCACTAGTACTATGTACAATGACACACCCACTTTAAAGCAATACATTTATTTTTGCCTTTAAACCAAAGAGTTCCATTAGTCATTACACTTCCGAGACTCCACTTCTGCACTCTGATAAAAAGGGAAAAAAAGTATAGTAGTGAGCAAAAGAAGAAAAGGATTGGTGAAAAGTACAATGCATATCACTGTTTTGTGCAGCTTAAATAAAATAATCCATCTAATGTATATATAAACATTATTATTAATGAAATCTCCTTAGCCCATTCTTGTTCGCTCTGTGATGGATCTCTTGACGCGGAGAGTCCAAGGGGAGTCCCGTGGTGCATGTTTTTTGCCGATGATATATTGCTTATTAACAACTCTCGAGAGGGACTAAACGATAAGTTAGACAATGGTGCCTTTTCTTGGAATCTAAAGGTTTTGGACTAAGCATGACCAAGACTGAATATATGGAATGCTGTTCCAGTGGTAGGAAAATAGAATCAGGGGTGGAAGTTCGGATTGGTTCCCACTCAGTGCTCAAAGTAGACAAATTTTGATATCTTAGCTCTGTCTTTCAGGTAGATGGAGAGTTGGACAGAGACGTCATGCAACAGGTCGGAGCGACTTGGGCTAAGTGAAGGTTGGCTTTAGGGGTTCTCTGCTTTTATGTGCTCTTATAGTGTGCTACTTGAGTAAAACACAATCATCATTTCACACTTTCATTTTGTTAAAACATCTTATAAAAACAATGTATCTAACCATATTTATTTCATCATTAAAAAGCCACTCAAATAAATACTCGAGGTATGTAGAAAAACTAAATTACAATAGAAAAAATTATGTTTTCAAGTCAAATGACAAATTGAACGTCAAATACTCTCAATTTGTATCATATATTATCAATTTTGAGAATTATTTACATAATGAAATTATTTTTCTATTAATACACATTATAATTTTTATTTAATTATTATTCAAAATTAAGTTTGACTTAAAAAATTTGATCTTGGGTGTTTATGATATGGTTGTATTGCCATTAGCTTTCCATTTCTACCTTCTATTCGCGGCTGTTTGTCAATAGATTCGGGATTCTAATTGAAACTCCGGTGTCGGCGAAGGAGCAAGGCGGAGAAGAATATGTATCATCCATCTAGAGGCGGCGTTCGCGGCGGTCGCGACCGTAAGCTCGCCATTCTCTCATTTTTTTAGTATCCCATTTCTAGGGTTTCGTTTCGTACAAGTATTATGTACGGGGTAACTACTAATCTATGTTGAAATACTTGTAAGAAATTCATAAATTTCATGACTTTAGCTTTTAATTCATTGTTTTCCGATTCATTATTTCGCCGAATTAAGTGGAATTTGGATTTTTTTTTTAAATTGTAAATAAGTTGAGATTTAATGTTTTCAGGTTCCAGGGCAAAGCTTTTACACAGTTCAACTAAGATCTGCTAAATTAACTGTTCTTCTCATTAGACCATTCTTTGATGTTAGAATCTCTTCACATGGTTCCATGAATGTGGTTAGAAAGTCCATTCTTTAATATTAGGATTAATCTAGGTGAAAATTATTACATAGAAAAAGTGGTTAATTGTGAAAGATGTATGGAGTGTTATCAATAATGTGTTATGTGAAAGAAAAAACAACAAATATTGAGGGATTTTAATTTGAGTTCTCACTAACTCCCTTTTGAGAAATTCCAACTTGTCATTGGACTGGTTACCATACATCAATTGCTGAATAAGTAGCATAATCTAGAATAAATAAGGAACATAAGTCATACTGGGTAATATAATTAAATAATGGCAAGGGAATGTAGTTACTTGTGTCCCAGTTCTTAACAACAGCAGTTTAGGATTCCATTTCCTCTTGATTTTCATCCTTCTTCTCCCTACGTCGGTATATCTTGTATTTGAAACATGTGAATATATCATAACGTAATAGGAGTAGTAAAGTAGTAATTGTAAATATGGCCCGGTTCCATTGCCACTGGGCAACAGTGCCACTCCGGTGTCACTGGTTTTTTGGAGCACCACCCGTGCTCTGTTTGCAAAATTGATAGTTTTTACCCCTGGTAAACCACCCCACCCCGGCTCGACCTGAACCCACCTCCATCCCCATCAATTAGACCCCCCAAGTTTAGAGTCGTTTTTTTAATCCCAAAATCAACTAAACTTGGGGGTCTAATTGACGGGGGTGGGTTTGGATCAGGCCGGGGTGGGGGGTTTACCGGGGGGTTAGGAGTGTAGAAACCATTAATTTTGCAAACAAAACACCGGAGGTGCTCCAAAAATCCAGTGGCAAGGGAACCAGGCCCTTGTAAATAAGTAGTGGAATAACAGCAAACCTAGGGTGTAGCTCCAGATATGTTTTTTCACCTCTCTGGTGTGGCACAGATTCAAGTTTATGTATTTTGTGCAGAGTTTAGCTGGGATGATGTAAAAGCTGATAAGCATCGTGAGAATTATATTGGACACAGTGTCAATGCTCCAGTTGGAAGATGGCAGAAAGGTATTACTGTGTTCTTAACTTGCATGTTTATACACAACTGACCTTCTGGTGCATGATAGTCTGATTGTAATGTTGTTAAATCCGTGTTTTTTAGTTTGTTACCTCTCTTTTAATTGTCACTCCCCCTATCCCAAAAAATTATCTGTTTCCTCGAGGTACAAACTTTAATTTTTGGTAAGGCGCAACGGTTTTAAAATAATTTTTCCTCATATTTTTATTTTAAACTAAATTTACAAATTTATTTTGTTCGGAACACTTCCTTTTTTTGAAAGGAATACATTCAAGTCCAATGAAAGTTAGCTTATTTTATTGAAACAAGACTCCTTTTTAGGACAAAATCAAGTTGTGGAGCCAAACTCTTTTTTGGGATAGATGGGGTATTACATTCAATTGATCTCTCTTACATTTGACCAATATTATGCAGGTAAAGATCTTTTTTGGTATGCACGTGACAAGAGATCTCAACAAATGAACCCAGAGGCAGCAAAAGAAGAGATAAGACGGATCAAAGAGGAGGAGGAGAAAGCCATGCTGGAGGCTTTAGGATTAGCTCCCAAACGTGCTGCCCAACATCAAGGTAACAGGCTAGACAAGCATGAGTTCTCTGAGCTGGTGAAACGAGGCTCTACGGCAGATGACCTGGGAGCAGGCCATGCTGAAGCTGCTCATGTTCAAGGCCTTGGGTTTTCAAGGTAAGATCAGGGAGCTTATAAATGTTTTTTGATAAGAAAGCTGGTTGATTCTATGTGTCACTGGTCTTCCCTATTTTCTTTCATTATGTGACCTAATTCAATCATCTCTCTCAATTGAGTGCCTGTTTGGGTGGCTTCATTTTAGGCTTATCACACCAATATAGTGTTTTCACCAAACACTATTCCCCTTGGCTGGTTCCACATAAGTGAGAATTCAAAAAATTAGTCTCCACCTTTCACTCCTTGTTCCTTGGCAGTTGGCACCACTCCTATTCTTCCTTCTGTTCTTTCAGACCTTCCAATCAAGAACCCCCCCCCCCTAATTTCAGTGTTTTTGCGCAATTAGTTGATAACAAAAATAAGCTGTGTGTGTGTGTTGTTATTATTGGAATACCAATACTCTGTATTATTTTGGCAGAAATGGGACACTTCTAGCTTTTTTTTTATGAGTGATTTTATGAGATATAGCCATTTTAAGTCTTAACTGAAAAGCTTGAAACTAGTGCTTTTTAGAAAATCTGGGCTTATTTCAATTTTTCGGAACTGTGCAGAGGGCATCAGCCATGGAAGGAATCATCAAGTTCTGGGCCAGTTATGTCATCTAGTGAGATGCGGGAGCCTTCTGAGACCAGAATCGGGCCCAAGCTGGAGGAATCCATAACAAAGGAGGAAGAACGGTCAAAAGATGAAAGAAGCCAAAAGAAGAGACATCATGAAGATAAGAAACGGGAGAAGCATGATAGGCACGAGAAACGACATTCCCGTAACTCAGATGGTGAAAGGAAAAGACATAGGAGGGACAAGGAGAAGAGAAGACATGATTCTGATTAAGTTGCCTTTGACGTGTATGTATAAAGTCAATATCAAAACATTTCTACGGAGAAACCAAACCGTCTGGATGCATACAAACTCGGGAAATGCTTATGACACGAAAGGTCAGTTCAAATAGCATAGTATCTATCATTTGTGTGCAAACCATGCGAGCCTATGTGTGTTTTATGGTATTTTGATTACGCTTCTCAAGTTCCGGAATTCAAAATATTTTGAGTTGAATTGTTTTTCTTATCGCCTTAGCATTATGGTTGATGAGGAGGTCTAGACATTCATGTTTTCTTGAACGGTTGGACGTAAAGTAACAAAGCGAGAAGTTGGTGTGAAGACAACTACTCAGTAAATTGAATTTGAATTTCTTCTCATGTTGATAGTGTACAGCTTATCTGTATTCAAGTTTTAGGGAATGAAAATTCACAAGTGATATGGCTTGGTTTGTCATCTTGTTGGTTTTTTTATGTTATTAGCTTTGATTTTTGTAAAGCTCTGTGGAAGTTCAGATTCCAGAAATCTGGCAAGTCACACAAGAAGTACCATATTTGACTATAAGTTTATTCCATATGCGAGTGAAAACCCTACCTAAAGCATGTTGGGGCCTTGCATTTAGCACCTAAAAAACCATTTGGAACCTTAACATCCGCAACTGTTTTCTAATACCCAACTTCGAAGTGTCTTTGGCAACAATTTTAGTGTTTTGAAAAGTCCGTTTAATGAAAACGTTTTGTTTTATCATATTTAAAGTTAATTTGCATAATTGAAAAAATAATTAAAAAATTGAAAACAGGCGGGAGATGCCTTTCCATTCATGTACTTGGAAAATGTCAAAAAATAATAATAATATGTAAACTACTTGGATGATTAAATTACATGGATTATCTTTCTTGTCTATTTTCTTTATTAATAATTGAAAATAGACTTTCCATTCATGTACTTGGAAATGCTTTTGCTCTTATTCATGGCGCCTAATTTCCTTCTCAGACAAAAGCGACGCATCGATGACAATTAGCAGAAGCAACATAGGAATTGAGGACTTCTTCCCACTAGCAACCCTTTGCCATTGTAGACCGAGAGTAAAATCAGTTGGCGTAAAAATTACGAAAAAAAACCTTGTTGTTTTCACGATCACTTGAAAAAAAGATCGGAGAACAGCAACCATAGCGAGGCTCCTAACGAGGTGTGGTGTTGATCCGTGCCACAAAGTATAAATGGCTCATCAATGTTCGACCCGCAATAAGAGATTGAGCAATTTAATCATTATCCATAACCAAAAAGGACTCATAATGGAGGCCTTAGGGGAAAAAAGATGGAGAGTTAAAAAGTAGAAGGAATCAAAGAAGCATAGTTCAACAAAGTCATTCCGAGTATTGCACAAATGTGTAACCGAACTACACCATGCCAAACGGATGTGTTAGTAAGTGCACCATGACTCCATGAACCATATAAAAAGATGAAATCCATTGTCACCAAGCACATAGTAATCAAACATAGCTCAATCTCGAATTTCGTTACTGGTTCTGCATAAATTGCTTAAGAGTACTAGAGATATCTCTGCAAAGAAGCACAATTTGTAGATAGAAACTGACACAATTGCATTGGTAGCCAATAGCTATGATCTGGCAACCGGTTCCAGTGCTTCGATTGTTACAACGCTGTTTCCCCTAATAACCTGAAATTGTGGTATTGTATTGATTAGGAAACAGTAGTTGAGTACTTTTGCAATAGCAGACTGAAATTATTTTCGAAGTCAACTTATTTTAAAGTTGATATAGAAATAAATACTTTAAAAGTTACTATATAGATTCAAATACTACACCAAAAGTTATAAAACACAAGTGATATGAGTCTTATTTGGTCAAATTATTGATGAAAGTATGTAAATAAAGAAGATATATTTTGACTTGGTAAATAGTAACAATGTCTGTATATGGAAGGTTGAGAGTACATGATTTACTGTTGTGTTAACGCTTTTTATAATAATTACTAATTCATAACCTTAATGAAGATGATAATGCTCTATTCATTACAATTACCCAAAACATGAATGAGAGTAGAGAAAGGTGATCACTAACCACAGTGCCAATTTCATTCTTGTCATTGCCATTAATTTCCTCAGTACTATCAATGACCAAATTCATGAACTGATCAAACCCACGAAGCGTCCCAACAACCATGCGATTGGCATTCAATTTAACTGCAAAACAATGTGAAATGGATACAAAAAAGTTGATATAGGTGATACATAGGTATTGATGTGCCCTAAGTCTTTAAGCATACGTATAAGTATGAATTTCATTAAGCATTAGAGACAAGGCTCGCAATGAGCTAAAATCATTTATGCCGCTTGTGCAACAATTTAAGAAACAAATATATCATAACGGTCAAAACAAGTCAGATGCTCATACTTGTGCATACATAGTCTTAGATATTAGGTTGCCGTTTGCTTATTTGGGGGGAGGGTCATTTTGGTCAAAACAAGCTGGACTTTTCACATCTTTAATTCAATATATACTACATTTCCCAAACAGGGTTTATTTTTTATATATAAAATCCATGCATTTATAATGTGAATGCATAGTGATCATTATTTTAAAATATTCTAATCCGAAAACCATGGAAACAATACAAGATTAATAATTAAGAGAGCCTTTTAGGCATGGTAAGGTCTGTATACACCCACCTTCTCAGGCCCTTTCACAAATTTTGGGAGGTCAATGTTGTAAATAAGAGAATGGAAAAAATGCATTAGTAGCGGCACAATTGACATTACAAAAACTGTAAATTCTTGTGAAAGAGTGCGTTGGAACGCAAAACATATAAAATTTCAAGAATTTGGGTCGTGAGTGCATAAACAGTAGGTCTCCGCAATAAAATAAAAACAATCAAGTTGACCCCTACCACAATGTTTTGTTCAAAGAACACAAAAAAAAATAGTAAGGAAAATAAATTTTGAGGTTTGGATATGAAGGAGCAGAAAAATAAAATTGGGAAGGAAGAGAAAAGGATAATGTAGAGTAAAATCGAAAAAATCATTTCCATCTTTGTGAAGAAAATGAGAGAAAACAGCAAACCCCACATAGCCCCTGTCCCCCAACGCCCTCCCCACCCTGCCGTTCCCCTTCTTTGAACAATGTCCAAACAATGAAGTTATTGAAAAATAATTTCCTCACCAATTTCTCTACTAACTAACTAGACAAGATTAGGATTTTCAGTTTGTTTGACTTTCTATTCCTTTCCTGAGCATTTTATTTTCTCCCCAAATTCCTCAAATCAAATCAAACATAGTGTAAACCACAAAGTTGAAAAACCCTAACCACATAATTTAACAAAAAATATGCCAAGTTTCAGAGAAATATGAAGAGAACCAACATACTCTGAAGCTTCTTGTCCATGTACCTGCAGAATCCGCGGAACACATTAGAAAAAAACATTCAATTCGAATTCGAAATCGAAAACACAACTAAAATCAACTCCAGGAAGCATTAATAACAAAAAAACAGATCGAAAACGAAGAGAGAAGAAGAAAGGGGACTCACTTCTTGAGATCTGGCGGCTGCCCGGACCTACTCATGGCGGCTGCTACTGCGCTTCTTCGTCTCAGTAAGGAAGGAAGAAGGAGAAGTGAGTGAGATTAGGCTTTGTTCCTTCGTTGCCGGCGATCGTCGATCTTTTATATCACCCTTCCCGGGCCATTCAAATCTGGCCCATTCTTTTTCTGAGTTAAGGCCCGATGCGAGCCTATGATTCTATGGGTTTGAATATTCTTTAAATATTAGATTAATGGGCTCTTTGTTTCAACCTCTTAATGGTTCAGATGTCTGAATAGTTCAGCACTTAATGGTTCAGACTATTTGTTTCAGCGTCTTAATGGTTCAGATGTCTGAATGGTTAAGAGATTTGCCTCTGAATGGTTAAGTATTATACAGAGTCTGAATGGTTAAGACCTTTTATCTGAATTGATCAGACATTTGCCTCTGAATGGTTAAGCAATATACTAGCTCTTAATAGTTCAGACCTCTTACTGGTTCAGCACTTTATTGTTCAGACCTCTTACTGGTTCAGAACTTGCCGATTTAAAAATTGCCAAACAGCCCCTAATTGTTTGGCTACCCCCTTTTCAAAAATGAACACCAAGGTCCCCTCTCTTTTTTTTGTTTTCCTTTTTCTACTCTATTTTCATAAATGTCTTTTAATTTATTTTATAAAATTATTTTTATAGTATTTTAATAATCAAAATATTTTGTGCTTCCAACAAAAAAACAATTAAATAAAAAGAATTAATGTACACTCCATTTGTCTCCAATTAAACATTTTTATTTTTTGTCTAAAAGAAGCCTTTATTGGTTTATTTTCATACGGGGTAATTAACAAAATGGATGAAGATTGAACATTAAACTATTAAACTATTGAAATAAAAGGTATTCTTGAAGAGTAGAATAAGCAATTTGTTTATTATTTAAAAATACTACTCTCTTTGATGTTTGTCCAATTTTAATTTTTTAGTATCAAGATTGATAAGGTCTGACCGATAGTTCAATAATTTTGGCATTAAAAATTGATACAAAAATAATTTCATTATATTTATTTTATAAAATATTTTAAAAATATCAATTTATCCAATACATATAGTATATAATTTTTGTTTAACTATAAAAGTCAAAGATTGAAAATGGTTAATTACAAAACATCAAATCTGGTCATATACTCATATACCGAGGTGCGTAGTAAGAAAATATTTGTTGGCCAGATGCAACATTTGAATTATATCGAAAACATAATAAACATTTTGCGTTATTTACTCCTGAACTTTTTAAAAAATATGTGAATTCACCTTGAATTTTAAAATTTGCGCCAATGCTCCCTGGACTTTTTAAAATGTTACGTCAATGGTTTCTCTGTGTCAGATTTGGAAGTGTTTTACTGTGTATCAATTGTTTCTTATTAGAGTAGCCCTGTGCAGCGTTCTCTTCTGAGGTCCAGTCTTCAGCAATAAGTGGGTTTTGTTTTGATTTGTTCGTACTCGATATAACACTTTTAATACGAGTAATTCTTAACCTACCTATCACATCACGATTTTTCTCTATTAATCTACCCATCGCATCCTACTTTATTAATCAAATCAAGGATCATTTTTAAAAAGTCAATATCAAAATATATTCCCCTTAAATCTTTTAAAAGTCGAAGTGGGATGTTTTTTGCAGGACGGAGGGAGTATTATACTTATATCAAAACACAATGTATTTTTTCCATATATATTGAAGTCAAAGTTTGCAAATTTTGACCAAAAATTTCAAATGAGAAAATTATTTTCGGATTAGGGGAATAGTATATATAGTGACTTAAGTGCACGTTTAGTGCATGTTTGGTGTGGGTATCAAATTCTGGATTCCAAAGCCTTCTCGATTTTAGTGCACATTTAGTGCATGTTTCGTGTAGGTATCCAATTCTGGATTTTAAAGCCTTTTATATGGGCAAATTTCATCCATGGTATACGAACTTTCATCATTATTTTACTTTGGTATATAAATTTTAATTTCTATCACAAAAGTACATAAACTTTCAATATTCTTTCACCAGTGGTCTAATAGACGGTTTCTAAGTCACCTTCAGGTCATTTGGGATCAAATTATAATTTTATAAATTTAAATTTTATGATTTTGGCCCTTTTTCTTTTTTTCTCTTGGTTTTCCACCCTTTTCTTCATCTTCTTCAAGACCCCCCAACCTCCCCCTCCATTTTTTTCCTCTTTCTCTTCCAGCCCCCAAATCATAAAATTTAAATTTATAAAATTATAATTTGACTCCAAATGACCTGAAGGTGACTTAGAAACTGCCTATTGGACCACCGGTGAAAAATGTTGAAAGTCCGTGTACTTTTGTGATAGAAATTAAAGTTTATATACCAAAGTGGAATAATGATGAAAGTTCGTATACCATGAGTGAAATTTACCCCCTTTTCTATTTTAGTGCACATTTAGTGCATCTTTTGTGTAGGTATCAGATTCTGGATTCGAAAGCTTTCTCGATCTTTTAATTTCATCGGAGAAATTTAAAATGACAACTATATATGGAGTAGCGAAGAACAAAACCACGCGCTACAAATTTAAATAAAGATAATGTAGATATTAATGTCGAAATCGCGAGAAGGTCAATGCCCCCCGGTGACTATATTATTATTACCACATTTTTTTCTTTCAAAAATTCGAAAACAAACATAAAATTGATTCTTGTGTTGCATTCAATATATTGCAGCATATTGTCTCATAAAGAAATGATTCTAAATAGGTAGTTCCTAATTAATAAAGTGATTTAAGATCCTTTTCCTATTATTATTATTATGTTAGCATGCAGTGACTTATTATTAGGTGCATGTTCAGTGCAAGTATTGCGCAGTATATATACATCATTAGAATTAAACATGTCTTGCTTTAAAGACAATGACACATACAAGTTTGCTTAATCTTCTTACTAACCTAATCTACTTTAATTCTTCTCATACATATATTTTTCAAATAATTAACTAGAGAATAAAAACTTTGTATACATGGTACAATAATTGTATATATTCAAACAAAGTCATGTACACTTCTAATAAGATCCTTTTGATGAGGCCTGGCCTGCCTTGGGAAGTTCTCCCACTTCCTGTAGCTATATACTCCCTCCGTCCCAGTATATTTGTTCAATTTGACTTTTTCGAGTCAAACTGGACAAACTTTGAGTTTCAATTAAATAAAAACCGTAATGTATTTTAACATAAAAATAACTTTATTGGATTTATTGTATTGAAAATTTTTCAAAATTGTATTTCATTATGCTAATATGCAATATAAATTGAGAGCAATTAGAGTTCAATGTTTGTCCAGTTTGACTCGAAAAAGTAAAACTGGACAAATACACTAGGACGGAGGTAGTATATATATAATGTGTAGCTATTTATTGCCTCCGGTTCTTGCTTAGAAAGCTCCACCATTTCTTTTTCTTTGCCTTCAAATTTTTCATAGGGGAATTTGTAACTGAAACATATAGTTGTTTGCAATGGTTAGGAAAGATCCAACAAATTCCATCAAGAATGGGTAAAATACATTTTAGAAAGAAAAAAAAAGTGTGTTCCATTACCGAGTATTTAAATTGCCACTTTAAAAAACACTCTCTTCCGTTCTTAAAATTTTCCTTTTGGGAAAAAGGTGCACCTTATAAGTATGTAATTTTGGTGTTATTTTTTTTTAAACTCGCCCTTACTTTATATTAATAATGTAGAATATGACGTGTGAGTGCACCTTTTTTTCAAACAAGAAAGCTTTTTTTGCCACCCAATGTCTTTGCCAGCTAAGCTGTGCCCTAGGCAGTACTAATGTATTCCCTTCGTCTCCCTGTATTTGTCCACTTTCATTTTTGCACACCATCCAATGCACTTCTTTAATCCATTTTATCTTGTAATTTGTATATTAAAAAATTATAGAAATTATATATTAATAATCTATATGTTAAGACAAATCAAACAAGATCACACATGACTATATTTAGGCTTACACATTGAGAGAATTTGATGAGTCAAAGTGCTTATATGAACAGTTTCAAAAGTAAAAAATGAACAAAGACAGTAGGACGGAGGGAATATGAAATATGGGTAGAATGAGGTAAAAGTATTGTTGACTAACCCTGAGGCGATCCAATGGGAGACCAACTCGTGAGGCATCTTTCATCCGGATAAATGGAATTGTAATGCAGCTCGGCCCAAAAACTCAGGTATATAACTGCAAAAAAGAAGGCCACATTGTTGTTACATAAACATCAACAATTTCAAATATAAATCCATCCTATAATTAAATCTCGAATACAAAGACACGATTAAAAGAATTGAAAGGCAATCACGACCTCTATTAGACTTCAGCTGCTTTGGAAGGATTTCAACAAAACAGGTGTCCTTATAAGATGTTACAACAATAATCTTCACACCGTACTGTGAAACAATTAAAAACTCTTTTAAACTACTAATTAAATCACTATTTGTTACTAGTCAAATGATATATACTTAGAGTAGACTCCATTTTAAATCTTGTAGTATTTAATTAAGTATATATACCAAGTCTGCAGCAGCTTGCAACGTGACATGATCACCCCACTCTCCAATCCTGAATTAATTAAAAATAATAACATTTATAAAGTTTAAGATAAACTTTATAAAGAAGAGAAATGTAATTAACAATCAAATAATGAAGATAGGAAAAAAAAAGAGGGGGAAAAGAAATGGTACTCCATCATGCTCTTCAAATAATCACCGTAACTCATGGGAACATATCCCTCATACATCTCTGGGTGATCTAATAGCTGATTAAAATTAAAACATAAGCATAATTATCAAGAGTAATTAATTAGTGTTCATGCCCGAAAATAATGCATATTTTGTCATTAATTAATTAATTGAAATACTTTCTTCGTCCCAGAGTATTCGTCCAGTTTAACTTTTTCGAGTCAAACTAGACAAACTTTAATCATCAATTATATTATTCTCCGTTTGTATTGAATATTAATATACTCCGTAATAGAATACATTTCTGAAAGTTCATTACAAGTTGAATATATAAAAATCATTTTTAAACTAACATACATTATATCTTTTACTTAATTAAGGCTCAAAGTTCGTCTCGTTTGACTCGAAAAAATCAAATTGGACGAATACTCTGAGACGGGGATATTATATATACAAAATCTTAACTAATTAAAGAAAATAAACAAAA